ATTTTTTAAAGTAATTTTAAGTCACCAATCCACGTATAGAGTTTGGTACCCATAGACGTTTTAACCGAATCTGGAGTATATATCTACCCACCATATCCGTTTGGTAACTTATCAATTGAAATGTCAGTGCGATATTGAATATATAGGTAAAAGGGGTCAAATGCTGCAAGCAACCAACAGGTAATAGCCAATATTCGCAATGACAAAATGGAGAAATTGTATATGTGCAAGTTCAGCGAAAGATGAATATTTGATTAAAAATTATAGTCTCCAGTGAGTGATTAAGGTTAATTTCAAGTTTGAAACTACTGGAACCGGTTTATTTTAAATCCTACCAGCCGCCTCTCAATAAGCAGAAGGAGCGTTTGCTGGGTTTAAAGTTAATTACGTTGTATGTGTTATATTTTCTTTCATGTAACATGTGGCCGTTCAGTTTTCATTTTTCGTCATTGTTCCTTATCTTTGTCCAGGATCTTTTGAAAATAATTAATATATATATATATATATATATATATATATATATATATATATATATATATATATATATATATATATATAAAAGTGAACATTGAAGTCAAAAGTCATGTTAGACGCAATCGCCAGGCCACGATTGCGTCTAACATGAAATAAACTGTCACCTCTAAGTGTTGACTTCAATGTTCACTTTTATATTTACACACGCTCTATCTGTGATATTGAGCCCTTTATCCTATAAATATGCCACACCTTAAGATTATATTTCTTCATATATATATATATATATATATATATATATATATATATATATATGATTATTTATTAATGGTATAAGAACCAACATACCAAAACTCTATACATCTGTATACATCAATAAATAGGAAAAAATTCAACAAATAGGTAGGGACGAATAAACCAACCTACGAAACTTACATATATATATATATATATATATATATATATATATATATATATATATATATATATATATATATATATATATATATAAGGGGTTATATATGCGTATATACAAGGGGTTATATATGCAGGGTGTGGAGGAATTGGGGAAAGAAACATTAGTAGGGAGGAGAAAAAAGAAAAGAACAACCAGGAGGATAGCAATTGATAATGAATTTAAATTTTTGCAGCTTAAAGTTGGTTGGAAAGCGTAGAGCCTGGATGGAGTTCCACAAGTAAGAAGTGTGGGACAAGAAACTGTTGGTATAGAAGTCACGGCTACAGTATTTACATTAGTCGGACTATTGTCCTCATCTTTGTCGCCATATTTGTCACAACGTTTCGGCCGTTGTACGCTCCGGCCTTCTTCAGGTGGTTGGAATTTCGAACTGAACCCTTTATTTTGATCACTGGGGTAGACTGTTCTAGTTCCACGTGCCATGTTTGATGGATGTCAGTTATCAGTTATCTCCTGCTAATTTTCCCTCTGAAAGTTCTCCACTGCCTTTACCAGGAATTGAACTCACCTTCTTTGGGTCTGTCACTGGATCTAACCAACGCCTTTATCCACTGTGCCATGTGTCCTTGAGGACATTCGAAATTCCAACCACCTGAAGAAGGCCGGAGCGTACAACGGCCGAAACGTTGTGACAAATATGGCGACAAAGATGTGGACAATAGTCCGACTAATGTAAATACTGTACATAATACCTCATCTCAGAAATATAGACAGACTCTGAAGTTACGGCTACATCTAGATAGCTCATCTGTAAATTGAGATCTTGCCACCACTCTAGTACAGCGTTTAAATTCATGCAGTCTACGTATCATAGCTCGTCAGATCAATTACCATGAAAGTATTTATAAAAAAAAAGTCACAAAAAGTCATCCTTACTGTGCGGCTGAATAAAAAGCGACAAAAGGAAAAATTATTCTTAGTCGATGTGTTTTGTCCTCTGAGGCATTTTATCATGACAATGTAGGATTTATTTTGTTGCATATTTTTATATACAAAAGCGAATATATAATTAGTTTATCAAGAATTTTAAATTTGAGAAAGATCATGAATGTTTCTCAAGTGGTTGAAATCCGGATTACTTCTGAAGTGTGCTTGTCAAACTCTCTGCCTCTGTGTAGAGAGGAACCCAGACTAGGCTTTACCGAGGGGCAGTCTCGTCTGAAGTGGTAGACAGCTTCCCGATCCCGTTTTTACGGGGTTTAGGGGATATTTTTGCCCGAGCCTACGGGCTCGGTTACCCCTTTGGCCGTGTGCCACATCTGACCGCGTGGGACGGTTAGTGAATATAATAAGGCGATTGAAAGGTCAGTCAAAACATGTGGAAGATACACAGTGCCATAATTCAATGTCTGGCAAGAAGTAAACTAGTAATATTTAAGAATTCAAAATATTTTTTACTGTTCATGAATTTTGAACTCTGTAAAGCGAAAAAATATTTTGAAATTACAGACCTAATGCATACATATACACAGACAATTTAACCACCATGGTCTCAGATGAGATTGAAAGTAAAAATCATTTGAAAGAAAATTTTCAAATTTTTCTTCATAAATTTTCTACAACCACCAAGAAATTACTTCTTGGATATGGAATGATTAAAACTAAAATGAATATATATAATACGTCTAAAATAATTTACTACAGATGCTTGAACATATATATATAAATATATATGCTGTAGCACCCATCTCCTTCCTCCAAAAATCCTACATCTCTTATATCTTATCCCTTTATTGTACCCCCCCTTTTACCTTCCTCCCTTTTTTATCCGATGTCATTTCCGTTGACCGATAGGTCAATATCTGATCCTTATCCCCACCTTCCTCAATATTAAGTATTATAATAAAAAGCAAAATAAATTTTAAAACTCTCCCTTCCCTCTCTAAACTCGACCATGTCTCTCACACTATTCCTCATAACATTTTATGTCAACTTATATAAGCTTAATACTGCCCGTCAAATGTGTAAATTTTAAATTCGTTTTTCGTTTCACCCTTGAAAGGGAAATCTGAAGATCCAGAGAAAAATAAAATTCTCTAGTGAAATAAATTATAACAAATGGAACCTTAAAGTGGTCTGTTTTTTCTTAAATTATATATATATATATATATATATATATATATATATATATATATATATATATATATATATAAAAGTGAACATTGAATGTCAACACTTCGTGGCCAGACAGTCTGTTTCGAGCATGAAACAATCTGTCGACGAGTGTTGACTTCAATGTTCACTTTTATATCTATACACGCTCTACCTCTGATATTGAGCACTTTATCCCATAAATATAGCACACCTTAAGGATATATTTCTTCATATATATATATATATATGTGTGTGTGTGTGTGTGTGTGTGTGTGTGTGTGTGTGTGTGTGTGTGTGTGCGTGTGTGTGTGTGTGTGTGTTTGTGTGCATGTTTCGTTAAAAAGAACAGACAAGGTAACGCGATTAAGCTTTTTATTTAATTTCTCGTGAGTGTATTTAATTTTACTTGTGTTTGAACAAATGTTTCCTTTTTTGAAGTGTGTAGAAGCTGTCCAAATGTTCTATAATTCTGAGCGCTTTCGGCTATTATGAAGGGTGATTTTATTTTTTCAATTTAATTGGGCGTGTGAGTTGTGTGTAGATTTTTAGTGTTATAGAGATGTTTTATTTCAAACCGAATTCGTAAATAATTACATCGGCCACACAACTACATGTCTATCCAGACGCCTTACGTTACACTTATATGACCACACCTCTGATATTAGAACCCATTTAAACACACAGACAAACTTACAAGACTCCATCCGAAACATACTAGTAGAAAGTCCAAACATAATAACTTCATCCACATGGAAAAAAAAACGATTAAAAATAATGGAAGCCTTAATAATAAAAAAGAAAAAGCCAACACTTAATAATATTAACTACGAACACGGCGACAATGTGCTGCGTTTGGAAAATAAAATATCTCTATAACAGATCTACATCCAGATTCTTTCACAAGAACGTGGGTGTCGCCCAAGACTCTAGCCTGGGCCCTACGCTGTTTCTGATCTTTATCAAGGATCTTCTTGATGTCATCAGTTCCCAAGTAGGCATTTATGCTGATTACTCTATCATTTACTCCTGTCTCAATAGCAAATCCGTCAGAGTTGACAAAGTTAACCTGACCGCTGCTCTTGAAAGGAGCCTCCAATCTGTGGTTAACTAGGTCAGGAAAGGACTCCTGTAGAGCAACACACTCCGCCTTCTTGGCCTCACGTTTACACCAGACTTGAATTGGAACGACTATATCGAATCAATAGCTGCATCTACATCAAGGAAAGTTGGGTCACTGTGTCGTGCCAGAAGTTTTTCTCTTCAGAGTCCATCTTGCACATTTAAAAATCTACAGTTCGTCCGTGCCTTGAATACTGTTGTCATATAGTGATTTTCCAAGAGTAGGTCAGATGTGACACAAGGCCGAAAGTATGGGGTACCTAGTGAGGATCGAACTCACTACTCCAATACTGTTGCCATATATGGTCAGGTTTTTATACTACATATCTTGTGGTTCTTGACAAGATTTAAAGAAGGATTTGGCATCTCGACTTCAGTCACTTTTTCACCGACATGACGTGGCCTCCTTCTGTCGTTTTTACAAATATTTTTATGGCTACTGCTCTGCCGAGCTTTTTATCCCTGGTCTCTCGACTACGTGTGTTTAAGCATGCTACTAGATTGGCATCTAGGTCCCACTCTTTTACTGTTGAATTGGGTAAATATAACCGTTTCGTCATGGTTATTGAATGAAGAGTTTCTTTTCCGAGCGCATAAAGATAACTTCATTTAGAATGTTAACTTTCTTGTAATCTACGCCATTTTATTTATCAAAATTGGTGCAAGACAACAATTTCATCCAATGCAGTCTCTTGTCAGATTTAGACAAACTTTTTAAATGCCTATATTTAAGAGAAAATAAAATAAATGGACATATTAGTGTTCTCTCTCTCTCACACACTCCCTTCTATCTCTATCAATCCCTACTCCTCTCTCTCACCATCTCCTCCTCCAGTCTCCCACTTTATCTCTCTCCGATCCCTCCCACTCCCTCTCTGTCTCCCATCTCTCTCACTCCCCCTCCTCTTTCCACCTCTCTCAATCTCCTTCTCTCTCCCTCTCTCACACATCTCTGTCAATCCTCCTCTCTCCCTCCCTCTCATTCTCTCTCCCCATCTCTATCACTCCCCTTCTCTGTCCCATCCCTTTCACTCCCTCTTACTTTCCTATATATCCCATTCCCTATCTCTCTCCCATCTCTCTCACACCCACTCTCTTCAATCTCACTCCCTCTCTCTCTCTGCCATCTCCCTCTCTCTCATTCCCCTTTCTCTCTCCCATCTCTCTCTCACTCCCCCCTCTCCCCCATGTCGCTCACCTTCTCTCTGTCCCCTATCTTACTCTCCTTCTCTCACATCTCTCTCACCCCCTCTTTCCCATCTCTCTTACTCCTCATTCTCACATCCCGCTCTCACTTCCCCTCTTTCTCTCATCTATCTCAATCCCTCTCTCTCTCCCATATCTCTCACTCCCCCTCTCTTCCCATCTCTCTCTGTCTCTGTCTGTCTGTCTCTCTCTCTCTCTCTCACACACTCTTTCTCTCTTTGTGATATCATTACAGAAAATAGCATCGATAAATTAAAGAAAAAGTTATAAAAAATTCAAAGGAAAAATCTAAATGAATCACAGTCGAATTTCAGGAAAGGATGAGAAATGAGAGAGAGAAAGAGAGAGAGAGAGATTGAATATGGGTGTGCATGAGAGAGTAGGAGAGTATGTATACGTGTAAGAGTGAGGGAGAAAGATCGACTTTGGTGTAAAATAGATGCAAAATGTATGTGAGAGAGAGTGTGCGTATACCAGAGAGGTAAACAAAGTCTGAAAGAGCGTGTCTGCGTCTGTGTGTGAGTGTTAAAAATGGAGTTTGAGGCTGTTATTGACCGATAAAGTGAACGTATGTGAAAGAAAATGTGTGTGAGAGGATGGCAGAAATAATAATATGTGTGAGCTATATAAATAGTGTATGAGAGGGTGAATAAAAAAGCGTGTGTGCATATAACAAATAATATACACTGCGTGTTTGATAGAGAGGGTTTGTGTATGAGAGAAAGCGCAACAAAAAAAACATTAAGTTTGACAGAGTCAACGTATGTGAGAAGGAGACTGCGTTTATAAGAGGGAAAGAGAGAGAGAAAGAGAGAAGAAATGTGTGTTTTTTGTTTACATGTGTATATCTGTGAAGAGATATAGAGAGACAAAGACAGAAAACGGTCGTCCGGTTCACACTCCTCTCTGGTCTTATGAACAAGAGTATTGGTTTATCCCTTGTTTTCTCTTTATGATTTGGTTTCTGTTTCTCTCTAAAGTCTTTTTCATTCTCTTTTACTACCAGTAGCCCCCTTGCATCTTAGCGGCATTATCGCCTTGCTTGGGGTGAATTGATTTTAAAAACATGTATTTGAAAAAAAGATAAAGCATTAAATTTTGAAACATATTAGAGAAAAGACAGACAGCACAGATGAAAAATCAAAAGGGAGAAAGCAAACAAGTGTGTGCAAATTAATGACTTAACATATACGCTAAATATAAAAAAAATAAAGACATTGATATATTAACAGGTAAAAATAAAACAGATATCAGTGACAAATATTTAGATTGAATTTGTATTTCATAGATGGTTGAGATTTTATAATTTAAGCATCTGCTATAAATTTATTTAAATCTCTTGGCAGTTTTTTCTAAGATATTTTCGTTTTCTTCTTCTGCTTTTGAAACTTTGTATAAATAAGTCATACTTATTAACCATTTGTGACGTAGCCTAACAATATAGAAGTGAACCAGTCGATCAACTGATGTACGTAGATAATTGAATAATGTCCTTGGTCTGATGACATAAAAGCTTTTATTTTAAATAGTAATTATTTGTTTTTCAACACTGCTTCCTTGTCAACAGTTTTACTTCAAGGATGAATATTAATCACTTGCACCAAACATTGTACATTGTAAAGATTAGATCCTAATTCAAGAAAATGTGTTAAACACGGTGGATAGCGGTTCGAATTGCGGAATCGGAGAACCGAGTTCGAATGCCAGTTGAATTCATTACATACTCTTGCCTGCTAATACCCTTGGGAAAGGCATGACTCCTCTTCTTCTCCCCACCAGCTATGGGTATATATATCAGGACAGACCGGGTTCTATAGCCGTAGATGGCAATTGGTCTACCGCAGAAAGAAATGGCAATCTACTGCAGGAAAAATCTGCTTTGTCAGTCATGTATCGAAAGATACATGTACCGAAAGATACATGATCGCCTAAGCGTGTATCACGCATGTCAGATAACTGGCTGACTGGTAAACACGTGTTTATATATATATATATATATATATATATAGAGAGAGAGAGAGAGAGAAAGATAGAGATAGATATAGATATGACTGTTAAACACGTGTTCATATATATATATATATATATATACACACACACACACACATATATATATATATTCATACATGTTTCATTAAATAATATAGACAAGTGTTGCCTATTTATCTTATGTAAATTCTTTCATAACGTCTAATAAGCTTAATAACATTATAATTAAACGAAGATAATCACAATATTGATACATATTTTTTTAATGCAATCTAAGATTTCGGCTTACATAAGCCATTATCAAAGATGTCAATTACTGTACAATATATTAAGCAATACACGGACAAGAAGGTGATGATAGTCTGTTTCTGTTTACATGGATGATTTCCAAGCAACGATAAACACGTGCATATAAGACGCTGGAAGCGAAAATCGCACCGCAGCTCATGACGTCACACATGACCACGCGGGAGTGAAATCGAGAAGTATTAAGTATGGGCAGCCGTTGGTATAAACCAATGGCTTCTGTTACCAATTATAGACATTTAAGGATATTTGTGGAGATTTCATAGTTTATTTTGTTTAGGTTAAGTTTCAACTGTTTTATTTAATGAAACATGTATGAATGAAGAAATGCTGCCTAAATACACAATATATATATATATATATATATATATATATATATATATATATATAAAAATATGTATATATATATATATATATATATAAACACATGTTTAACAGTCAGTCATATATATATATATATATATATATATATATGTGTGTGTGTGTGTGTGTGTGTGTGTGTGTGTGTGTGTGTGTGTGTGTGTGTCTGTGTCTGTCTACTGTAATGGTTTCTTATTGATTAATGGAAAACCACCCTTGGTTTGAAAGGGCTTTCTCATATTAAAAAGTGAATAAATATTTGCCTTTTGTCGGGAGCTTCGTTTTCGTTATTGAGACTTTCAATTTCTAGGTTGATAGACAATAATTTCCCTATTTACATTTGTCCTCATCTTTACTTTCACTTTCACAACGTTTCGGCTTTTGTACGCTCCGACCTTCATCAGGAATTTCGAACCGAACCCTTTATTTTTTCCACAGAGGTACATTGTTATAATTCCACATACCATGCCTTCGCATATCGCAGTATAAATTAATTCATAGTTTTAATACTTTTTGCCTCTGTACTTCTTCCTCCCCAAGAATGTAATACCTAAATTTAAAATGCATTTCAAAAAATGAAAAATATTTTTGGAGCTGTAATTTTAATTTTAATTCGAAGCTAATGATTTAAATATAACATTCCCAATGAGCAAAAAATTTTGGTCTATTTGAAACCGAATTTAAATTGATGATAATCTTTTTTTTTTCTTTCCTTATCGGTAAAATCTAAAAATTCGTCCATATTGACTGTTGCGAGATGCCAGATCAGGGCCAATTACATTGCATATCCGTCTCTGGATCTTATCACGAACCCCGAGCCAAACCGAAGGGGCCCCAGACCATATATAGCAGCAATACTCCATGCAAGGGCGAATGGTTGATTTGGAGATCTGAAGGATCGACTCCAGGGAGAAAAATTTCTTGGAGCACAGAGAGCCAACTTTCCTTGCCGTGAACGAAGCAATTGTTCCATCTCAGGTCAACAGACAACGAGAGACCGAGCAGCCGCAAAGAGGTGCTCTCGAGAAGTTGAGCATCAGACATTCTAATGGAGGGCAGGGAAGGATCTCTGTGGTGATTAATAGAGAGCAGTTTTGTTTTTGAGGCGTTAAAGTTAACCAGACAATTCCTGCCCCAGTTCACAAACGATTGGAGGTACTTTTCGAGACGTACGGCCAGTTTAGTTTTGTCAGCGGCACTAGATTTGTTTTTGAGGCAGAAGTACATTGTAGTGTCGTCCGCGTAGATGTCTACTTGGGAATGCATGGCGCCAGGAAGATTGTTTAACAGTAAATATTTCATTTCTTATTGGTACCGCATTTAGTTTCTGATAATTTCTTGTATGGACATCCGTACTTACAAAAATCGACCTTTTTATACATAAACAAAAAAAATTAAAATTCTTTTTAAAACGCTGTGGGCTATTGAATTGTAGTGAGTATTTCTATTTAAGATTAGTAAGTACTATGTTAATTTAATGACAATAAAACTTAACACTACATAGAATTTTAAACAAAAAATTATTCATTATTCATCGATTCATTAATTTCTTAAGACAATAGTGACCATAATATATATTATTCGTAAAAACTATTAATTTTTTTTCTAATTAAAATGTACCTTTGTCAACTTCCATAATTTTATTTTACGATTCAGAGCAGATTGTCTTCAAGATGGAGTCGTGTTTGATAAAAGAAAATTAATGATTTTGAATTTTCCAAAACAAATAACAAATATAAACATGATGTTATAATAAAAAGAATTTCTCGAAATTTAATAAAAATTAAATGACTTGGCTGTAACAGATTAAAACTTTGTAAAGATATTTTTAATCTGTTAAATGTTGGTTATTTTATGTTGGTTATTTATCTTCTTTTTTGTCCTGAATGTTTCATTTAAATTCGATTATTATCTGATTTTTGTAAAAATTTCCAAATCAGTGCGTTGTTTTTTATCGCAAAAAGTGGTTCAAATTACACCGTACAAATTTACGGTCTTGACAGAGTGTAAAAAATAAAATAAAATAACCAACATTTCCAGGGTCCTAAAAAAATAAAACAAAAATAACTTTTACATCAAAACATCCATTGATTGTTCCTCTTAATAATGATAAAAAAGATTTTGACGTAACATTCCGTTTTTATTGTGTTTGGGGTATTTTTTAGTAATTCTTTGAAATCTCTTCTGGTGCTTCTCAAATAATTTCAATGGCGGGCGGGGTACCCTCTATGCCCCCACCTCCCCACTATGTATACAATTGATGAATGAATCATTAGAATGAGTAAAAAACAATCTCTCTGTAATATTCATGTTGCAATTGTCTTAATAATTTTTTTTATACTCTACTACACTATCCAAATAAATTAAGAAATTATGAACAGCCAATGAATGATATAAGCTTAATGCCCAGTTTCAACAGTTAGGTATAGAAGTAGGTGGGGGTGCTGTGTGAAATCAAGAAAAATTCCCACTTGGAAACCTGAATCCAATACCCTTGACATTAGAGGCAAAGACCTGAACTCTAAAATGGAGCACCACCCGCAAAGCTTTTCTTCTGGAGTTCGAAGGT